ATTCCCGACGTTTCGGGTGCTTTACAGCAACCATGGTCACGGGGGGGGGACTGAGATGTTTGACGTCCCAATGTCATAGTTAGTCCGGCTACCTTCAGTTTTTTAATATTAATTTTTGGTCCGATTTACGCAAAACGAGCTTATAGTATCATGAAGTCTTGCAGTGGTATGCTTAGGTTTTGGTTTAATTTTGTTAATTATAGGATCCCAAGCAGATCATCTTTTCTATTGAAATTTGGATGTTTTTTATTTTTACTGCCTCGCGTATCATCCTTGGTAGGAATCGGTGTTCTTTTGCGAGAATTTGTGGTTTATCAAAACTAATGTAATGGTGGGGACGATCTTGAACATGATCGCAGACAGCAGACTTCCCGGAGCGTCGGTGCTTCACGTCAGCTACATGTTCTTTCACGCGGGTTTTTATGGATCTTTTTGTTTGACCTATGTAAGAGAGACCACATTCACAATCTAACTTGTACACTCCTGCATCTTGTAGAGGGATTACACTTGACGGATGGTAAAAATTGACTAATCTTCTTCGGCGGCTTGTAGTATGTTTTAATAGAAGCTCGCTTCAAGATGTAGCCAACCTTGTCTGTGACTCCTCTGACATATGGTAGTACAGCAGGTACACGCTCGACTGTGGCCGGCTTCACTCGGTCACTGTGACGTAGGCGCGGGAACGAAGCTTGTTGTCTTGCAATACTTGCTTGACGTGATGAAGGTCGGCGGCCAGATGTTTTCTGTCACAGATCCCTCGTGCTCTCAACTCGAAACAAAGATTTACCCACGGTAGCTAACTGTGAAGGATGATGGTGAGATTCACCATTTAAATATCGGTTGGTATGGGTTTTTTTTCTATACACAGTGTGACCAATTGTGTTATTAGGATTTCGAATGACTAAAACATCTAAGAAAGCTAAAGAATTATTTGCCTCTAACTCCATTGTGAATTGTATTTTAAAGTTTATAGAGTTAAGGTGGTTTAAAAAATGCAGTTACTTTATCAGATGGTAAAATTGTGAAAGTATCGTCTACGTACCGCTTGTAGAATCTTGGATTTACAGGAGCAGTAAGAAGGGCTTTCTCCTTGAAGTCCTCCATGAATATGTCAGCGACTATGGGAGATACAGGTGAGCCCATCGCCACACCATCTACTTGCTTGTAGAACTCTTCCTTCCACAATAGATAGCCAGATGTGAAGCAGTGTTTGAGTAATATTGCATATTCAGCAGGCATGTTATTATATTCTAGCTTCCTAGTTAAATTGATATGCAGTCTTCAATAGGTAGGCATGTGAATAGTGACTGAACATCAAAACTGACCATAGTTTCATTGTCAGCGAGATGTAGGTCTTTTATCTCACTAACAAAATGGTATGAATCCTTTGTGTGTGCTCTGGTATGTCCTCTCAGTGGTGACAGTACTTTTGCCAAGTGTTGTGCCAGCTTATAAGTTGGTGAATCGATCTGGCTCACTATAGGACGTAGTGGAGCGTTTGGTTTGTGTATCTTTGGTAACCCATACAACCTCGGTGGTTTGGTACATGATGGTATTAGCGAATTTACGTCGAGATTTAATTTTTCGGAGTGTTTCTTTATTAAATCGCTAGTTGCTTTAAGCGTGTTAGTTGTGGGGTCTGTTTTGACCTTTTTATATGAACTTTCATCCGATAAAAGTTGTTGTATTTTAAAATTATATTTCGACGTGTCCATTATTACCGTAGCATTTCCTTTATCCGCGCGGAGAATCGTTAGATCTGGTCTGTTCCGTAAGTTAATCAACGCTGTAAATTCGTCTTTAGGAAGGTTTGGTTTCGGCACTGAACTATGACGTAAGAAGGGCGAAATATCTTGACGTATAGCCTCCAAATTTTCCTTACCAATATTATTTTTAAACAGACAATCCTCAACGCTGCAGATAATTTCTTCGTACGGGATTTTTCGCGGTGTTAATGCGAAATTCATTCCCTTCGCTAACACCTTTATTGTTGGTTCGTCCAGTGTATGTTTTGACAGAATATAGACCATGCGTTTTTTATTGTTTGCGTCTGTGGTCAACGGTTGTGTTTCGTTCTGACGTTGACTTAGATGGTTGGCATTTGATTTGATCGTTAATCAAATCACAGTCGAGCGTGTACCTGCTGTACTACCATATGTCAGAGGAGTCACAGACTAGGTTGGCTACATCTTGAAGCGAGCTACTATTAAAACATACTACAAGCCGCCGAAGAAGATTAGTCAATTTTTACCATCCGTCAAGTGTAATATCCCTCTACAAGATGCAGGAGTGTACAAGTTAGATTGTGAATGTGGTCTCTCTTACATAGGTCAAACAAAAAGATCCATAAAAACCCGCTTGAAAGAACATATAGCTGACGTGAAGCACCGACGCTCCGGGAAGTCTGCAGTCTGCGATCATGTTCAAGATCGTCCCCACCATTACATTCGTTTTGATAAACCACAAATTCTCGCAAAAGAACACCGATTCCTACCAAGGATGATACGCGAGGCTATTGAAATTAAAAAACATCCAAATTTCAATAGAGAAGATGGATGGGTGCTGCCACCTGCTTGGGATCCTATAATTAACAAAATTAAACCCAAACCTAAGCATACCACTGCAAGACTTCATGATACTATAAGCTCGTTTTGCGTAAATCGGACCAAAAATTAATATTCAAAAACTGAAGGTAGCCGGACTAACTATGACATTGGGACGTCAAACATCTCAGTCCCCCCCGTGACCATGGTTGCTGTAAAGCACCCGAAACGTCGGGAATTAAAAATAAGTAAAAGTAGTGAAATAAACGCGATAAAATCCGTAAATTTAGTTTTATTCAATGTGTAGTGTTCGCGTAAATTTAAGAAATCATTATATGAACCTATTATGATTGTGAAATAACAGTGGTCTTTAACTATTGCCGAGTATAAAGAGCACACACTGTAAGGGAAACATCGTTAATGAAAATGTCACAGATTTGGCTTCACTTTAAGATAAATAAAAAACTACAATACAAAACTTTTAGAGTTGTGTAGCGGCTCAGAGGCTAAGCGCCCGCTGCTAACGTAACAGGCCGCGAGCAATCCGGGTGCTATCCTCGCCGGAACCAATTAATTAATAACGGTGTTTTATTTAAAATTACCATTACAACCTGCTAAAGTAAACTGCTGAACATAGGCCTCCTTCCCTATATATTGCCCAATAGAGAGTATTTTGTCATAGTTTGGAAACCGCAGTTTTTATTTTAATGCGTTATTAGGAAAACGCTGCTGCCCATTTCCTGATTTGTTTCCCTCTAACACTTTTATCGTCATAAGCGACACCCACGGGATGTTATGGGGAGTGGATATTCTCACACTGTCACTACACGGCTAACATAAAATTGTAATTAAACATTTCATTGGTGTCGGCAGGGTTAAACTCGGTTCTTTTATGATGATCGTTTAACGTCTCAGCTATCACCGCTCATAAAATATCAGTAGTTTCACTTGGAGTGTAGTATATGTAGGTAGTTGGATATACTTATAATAAAAAATGAAACAATGCCAACTTCCTTACTCTGGGCTGAGAATTTTGGTATGATATATGATTCCTTTTTTAAGCAACAATAGCCAAATGGGTCTTGACTGCGAATCAAATAATGTGAAAATTATTACATTGTCAACACAAGAAAAATGGATATTTTTACAGTACCGCGAGCAACGCTGTCAATACTAGGAAAGTGGATACTCTTTTACTTTTACTTTTTTTTTAATACTAACAATGCTATTAACATTACTAATATTCCCTTTGACTACTAGTAAGTGTAAAATGCGTTAGGAGTATTTCACGACAGTAGTCTAATGGTGGACTTGAACCCATGACCTTTTGAGTTTACGATCCGCACCCTGCCATTAGGCTAGTTTCGCTTTTTAAAAAGCCACTTATACATATAATAATGAGGTATTAATAGTGTATTCTCATCTGGTTGGGCTGAATAAATATATAATAGGAAATGATAAACATACATAAATACATATTTCATGTAATACATAAATAAATAAGTAATACATAAATAAATAAGAGCCCAACTTGATGGAGGCCCTTGGCAGGGGAGACCAAACGGCCGAGGGAAAGGGAAAGAAACCGGCGGACGATGCGGGCGGTATCGAGGAGCATCGCCTTCTGCATTTGAGCCCGGAGCAATACGTCACGGAGTCCCAGCCACACAGATGACCCGAGAGGCTGACTGGGATTAGCCCATTTGCAGAAACGATTACAGGAATAATTTCGGTCGGCAGACCATCCCACATGTCGGTCACCTCGTGAGCCAGGTCTCATATATTTTGTATGCTTATCTGTTTCGGCTTTCACGAGGTTCTCTTTATACGGAATGGTAATGTCGACCAAAAATGTCCTTGACTTGTATGATATATATGTGATAATATTATTAAAACATATTAAAACGGTATTAGTACTCATTTTCAGTTCGTTCGTTATTAGTGTCGCCTATTACTAACAAACATTAATGGCAACCCTTGCAGGCGGTGCGTTGCAACAATAAATGCTCACCGCCTAGTAATCCTTAATCACCCAATATTGCTCTATGCCAGCGGTCGGCAACCTTTTGGCGGGCAAGGGCCACTAGGTGGCAAAATAAACTAAAGGCGGGCCGCACTTGTGATTTACACACTTATTTATTCATCAAATCCCATAGAAAAAATGAAAATGCCATTCAAATTGTTAAAACATACGGAGTTTAATTCGTACATGTAATTACATTACGTTTATAGCTAGAAAATAACGGAATTAAAATAGAAATTAAAACTACAAAATTACTAATATACTTTCAGTGTGATGTCTGAGGTTGTATTTGGGAGGCTATTTCTTGTATGTTAGCTGTCATATTTGTAGTTGCAATTCGTAGAATGGCTCTCAAATGCTCATCTGTGAGACGAGATGCACATTTATTTTTTCTGTAATTGACAATTGAAAAAGTTTGTTCGCATAAATAAGTGCTACCAAAAATTGTAATGAACTGCTGAGCAAACTTTTTTCAATTCGTCAAAATCAGAAGGCAAGCTACCATAAAACTTAACAAGATCTTTGAGTTCATAGAAAGTGCTTTTAAGAACATCATTGGACTGGAGATCAATCATGTTCATTTGTAAATTACTCGGTACTTCCTCAATATCACATGAAAAAGGGTTTGCAAACACCTTCAGTTTACTTGAAACTTTTTCAAAATCACCAAATCTGACGCTGAATTGAGATTGCGGTTGTATTAAAATATCCTTCATTTTATCAATTTTCCAATGAAAATTAATTCCAGCTTCCTCAACAGCCTCTTTACAATTCGGAAAATGATCCAACTTTTTTTCGTCAATATGTTTTATAAAGAGTTTAATTTTCATTTGAAATGCTTTTACGTCTGTGTACATATCAGAAATTAGTTTTTTTTTACCTTGAAGCCTCACATTTAGCGTATTTAATTCATGAGTTACATCTGTCAAAAATCCAAGGTCTATTAACCATTGAGTGTCTGTCAGCTCTGGAATAGATTTGCCTTTTTCATTCATAAAAGTATTGATTTCTTTTCTGAGATCAAAAAATCTTTTTAGCACTGCGCCTCTACTTAACCATCGCACTTCAGAATAATAAACAACATCTCGATGATTTGCTTCCGTATCTGACAGAAACTGTTGAAATTGACGATGAGTCAATCCATTTTTTCTGATGTAGTTTACAGTCGATACCACGATGTCCATTACTTCTTTCCATGATACGACCTTGGAACATAACGCTTCTTGGTGGATGATGCAATGGAAAAATAATGGGATGGCACATCCTATCTCTGCCAGTTTCGATTTGATTCTACCTACCAAACCCTTATTTTGTCCATTCATGTTCCTGCCTCCGTCAGTTGTAACACTTACCAATTTTTCCCATGGTAATTGCATTGATACTAGCGCTTGTTCTAAGTTACAAAACAAATCTTCTCCGGTAGTCGTGCCCTTCAAACTACATAAATGTAAAAGCTCCTCATAGACATTAAAGTTCTTATCGATTCCGCGAACAAATATTAAAAGCTGGGCAGTATCAGTAACATCATTACTTTCATCGGTAGCTAAAGAGAACCATTCAAATTGTTGTGCTTTTTCCCGGAGTTGCTGACATAAATTATCGCCCAAATCTTCAGTTCGCCGGGTACACGTTCTTGCAGAAAGACTTATATTTTCAAATTTTTTTTTTAGGTCGGGGCACACCTCCTCAGCCATGACTAAAGCACATTGTTTTATAAGTTCGCTGTCGGTAAATGGTCGGCCAGACTTCGCAAGAATTTCCGCTACCCTTAAACTTGCACGTATATTCGACTCGTTACTTTGTACTTGAACCTTAAAAACATTTTGTTGATTCTTAACTGAAGATTTCAGTGCGTTAATTTTATTTTTTCGTGATTCACCCACTACGCATGCAAATTTAGCTTTATGCTCGCTATCATAGTGGCGTTTGACATTATATTCTTTTTGTATAGTAAGGGTTTTTTGGCATATTAAGCATAGCGGTTTGCCATTGCAATTAATAAAAAAGTATAAATCTGTCCATGCATCGTTAAATACCCTATTTTCTTCTGCTAACTTCCTTTTTTTAGAAGCCATTATCAACTGTAACAATAAAAGCATTATTACCAGACCAAGCTTACGTAGATCGGTACCTATCAAAAGTGTATAATAAAAAGTAATCTCACACTTACCGAAATCAAAACAAAAACGCAACAAATGAAATTGTTTCACTAATCACGCATCAAAGTAGGTAATTGACGGAGAGCGGAAAGCAACTGTCCTCGCTAACGTTCGTTTGTTCCGCCCGCGCCCCTCCCGCGCCCCTCCCGCGCCCCTCCCGCGCGTCGTTCAATAATTATTGTTCATTCGCGAGCCAAGCGAAGCGGGTTCCACGCTACTATACGGTTGTGCGGGGTTCGCGCGCGGCGGACAGATAGTCCGAGATTCCTGTTTATTTTACACTTATAATGTTTGCTACAACATAATACTTTTAATGTTACAGTTATGTTAAATACGCTAAATGTCAGGCTTCAAGGTAAAAAAAACTAATGTCTGATATATGCACATTTCATCCGCGGGCAGAGCGAAGCGCGTTATACAATATTGACTATAGCTATACGATACGCTATATGTTTGTGGTTCGTTTATGCATCTATTTTGATATTATTAGGATTTATTTACATAACATTCACGGGCCGCAAGTAGAACATCCGCGGGCCGCTTGCGGCCCGCGGGCCGCGCGTCGCCGACCGCTGCTCTATGCATTATGTATCGTCACCCTAGAAAACCTTCTTTTATAATACAAAACTTCACTGAAACAAAAAATTATAATTCACCTTCATCGTACAACTTTTTGATTTTTAATCTTGCTGGGTATCAGTTCAAGGATCTTGACCCATGTTTACACTTTTGTTATTTGTTTCCCGAACCATCATCCAACAGATATTTATCCGTTGTCTCATGAATAATTTACAAGCAGAAAATAATATGCCCTTATCGATCTTGTAAAACAATATACAGTCTTAAGTTTTATATTGTCGAATTAGTTGACTTTATCTGCCACTAACCCACAATTTTAAAGCAACCTTTTGTTAGATTTAATTTACAAAATTTATTGAATACTTAAATTTAGGTACACTCGTAGTTTGTTGTTATTTCTTACACAGACGATTTCCGTTCCTCAATTCACCACCCCGAGTCCATAGGACTCACCATTGTTTTAAGGTTGCCAAGATCACGTGATTTTTTAGCGTTTTTGTAAGACCATGAAACTAATGCTGGTGTTTTATGTTACAAAAACTATTTTGGTAAATTTTTTGTTAACCGGCTTTTATTTGGTTTTAGGCTTCAATTATGGCATCTAAACATCGAAAATTCAATCAATAAACCTTTCAGATGTTTCTGTCCCAGACATAATTAAATTAATCGGCCTCAACAAGACGACTTTTACGAGTAGGTCTTTGAAGTCAGCTTTAACTTATTAAATTTGAATAATTACGATATTCGACTTCAGAAGCTAATAAGTGGTAAATATTTTTGTTGCTGATGACCTTGTGATAATTGCGAGGGCCTTTTGCCAAAGTACTTTATCATCAATAATACAAAGAGCCCTAAACACCATAAATAACTGGTGAAGGGATAACAATTTATCAGTTAATGCTGATAAAACTGTTATAATACCCTTTACCAAAAAGAGACGGTTGGACAATTAGTCCAACCAAAACTTAATGGTAAAGAAGTACAATTTTTTACGGAAGTTAAGTACTTGGGCGTAACAATCGACCAAAAACTAACGTGGAATTCTCACCTTAGCAATGTATGCCATAAGGCAAAAATTGCTTTAGGTACGTGCAGTCGTTTGGTCGGAAACAACTGGGGCTTGCGTCCCAGTATGGTCCTATGGCTGTACAGCAGCATAGTGAGGCCGATTCTCATTTACGCCTCTATTGGCTGGTGTAACAAGGCCAACCAAAAGACGACTGCGGGCAGACTAAATAGTCTACAAAGGACTGCCTGCCTAATGGCAACTGGAGCTATGCGATCATTGCCTGGAGCGGTTCTTAATGCACTTCTATGCCTAACACCCCTTGATCTCTATCTAGACAAGGATGCGAGGGCTAGTTTGTATAGGATTAACGCCCAGGGCGGTCTGAGCTTGCTTTCTTACAGATTAAGATCCCTGCTTGACTCAATTAAGGAATAACCGCCGGTCTTATGCATGATCTCAGATACCATGCGTCCACTACACACTTTTGATAAAAAAGTATACAGTGGAATTACCCTCCAGAGAAGACTGGCTGAATGGCTAGGTTTTCTGTGAGGTCGGTAGCCTCATATGGTGTACCGATGGGTCTAAAATTGGCCTCGACGTAGGCTTTGGAATTTATGGGGAACGCCCCAAATTCAAACTTAGTATGAATTTGGGTAGATACACCTCTATCTTCCAGGCAGTAATTTTCGCCATACTTCCGTATGCGGAAATCAATCTGCAAAAACACTACGTCAACCATAAAATTTACATAAACTCCGATAGTCAAGCAGCACTGCTAGCACTGAGATCAAACTTAGTGAACTAAAAGCTAGTTGGAGACTGCGTGAACCGTTTAAACGCCCTGGGTTGTAACAACAGTAATCCGGGCCTGTGATCGTAAATTTGCTTCAGAAGCCCTGGGATTAAGTAAAAATAAATTGCGTATTCTAGCAAGAGCCCAAACTGGACACTGTTGTCTTAAAAAGCACATGTCCATCCTGGGACTAAGCAACTCAAGGATGTGCCGGTTCTGTTCCATAACGGAACAAACGCCTCTTTACATCCTAACCGATTGCGACCCCTTAATGCGCAAACGTAACACTCATCTGGGACACTATCTTCTCCGCCCAGAAGAAGTGAAATTGCTCACGGCTAAGCAACTCCTTCGATTCATTGAAGACATAGGGCTTAGCAGTGAACTATAGCCATAGCAGCGATCACAATAGATCTTTTAGGTCGCAGTGATACTGGTCTCTTTTCCTATACCTGCATAAGCTATGCTATAGTCTGTCTATTATAAATTTCAGAAAAATATCTGTACGAGTGGGGATAAGAACATTTTTATTTGGATCCCCTATTTTTCTTTTTTTATTCAGATCACATTCTAGTTATAATCAATCGTTTAATAAAAAGTACAATCTGACTTAAAAACAAAACAAAAATATTTTATTTATTATATGCGAGCAGCTATAAGGGTGGCACTGAAAATTTCGGGAATCAAGGAAGTGACACAACATTACTATTTAAAAATGTATTTATTGCTTTTCGAAATATTCTCCGCGAAATTTGACACTTTTTTCCATACGATGGAACCAATCATTGAAGCAACCATTCCATTCGGAAATTGGGGTCTCCAAAATGGCCGTTTTGTAGGCGTCCACAGCTTCTTCAGGTGATAAAAATCTCTGTCCACGCAATTTATTCTTTATTTTAGGGAAAGTATAGAATCATTAGGGCTTAGTCGGGGCTGTACGGCGGATGGTCTAATAATCCTATGTTTTCTTGCTCTAAAAACTCTTTTGTTATGTGTGCGGTGTGAGACAAGTTGCATTGTCGTGATGGAGGATGATGCGGCGGTTGCAGTTCTCTTTACGGAGTTCTGAAACGACCTGTGGCAAACAAATGCTAGCATACCATTCTGCATTAACCGTTATTTGTGGCTCAAGAGGAATAGTTGTAACATGGCTGGTTTTGGAGACAAACGTGG